TTGGACCTGGCACAGGCACTGTGGCCAGGGGCTACCCCTTTAATGGCTCCCCGGCTGGTTGTGCCCAGAGTGGCCACCAGGGCTCCCTGGGAAGGGCTGGAGACCCCCTATTTCGAATTAAATGTCTACACAGCACTTAATTTGAAATAGCTATTTCAAATTTGGTATTACTCCGTGTAGAATGAGGTTTACCAAATTCGAATTAAGGGCTCACTATTTCGAATTAAATTCGAAATAGCGGTTTGCATGTATAGACATTAAAATTAATTCAAAATAATGGCTGTTATTTCGAATTAACTTTGCAGTGTAGACATACCCTAAGTTTTTCAAGGATGGTCAGTGTGTCCTGCTTGTCTTCTCTGCTCTTTTAGTATTCTCTCTCTTTCTCTTTTTTTTTTTAAACTAAGTAGAGGCCTGAAGACCGCAACCTTCGCGGCTGGCGGCGCACTGCCCCTCAGGGGCTATGCCTTAACTATTAACAGCAACTATGAAATGAAAACCTTTTCTTTTTAAACTAATACGAACTATAAAATTGAGAAAGAACTAACAGTTTTAACTAATTACAAGTCAATTTACTTGATTAGGGGTCCTATAAAGGTAGCCTTCTAGTCAGGCAGCGGCATAGATAGCTGCAGCAGCACAGGAGCCAGCAAACAGAGCTGTAAACAGGGGAGTTTGAGTGGGAGTTTGGATATTGGAACTTGATTGGGGTTTGTTTTTGCTGTGGAGGGGGTGTTTTGGTCTGTTTTTGTGTTCACCGGACTAACAGGATTTTGGTGAGAAAGTAGATAAAACACAGAGGCAGTAGTGGCAATGGCCCAAGTAGTAAAGAACACAAGGAGGATGATTGGATGTGGTAGCTGTGGTTTTGTTTGCACAAAGTGCCGCCTGATAGAGCTGATGGAAGAAAAGATCCGAGGACTGGAGATGCAGGTGGAAACTCTGGTCGAGTTTAGAAGGGGGTTTGAGCAGATGATGGGGCAAAGGCATGACGTGGCTAGAGGGGAAAGCTTAGATATGCAGATGGAAGCAGGATCAAGGGCCTCAGAGGGGGGACTGCTGGGCGAAGAAAATGGACAGTGGAAGCATGTGACTCAGAGGACCAGGCAGAGGAAAAGATGGGTCAGTGAAGGAAAAATAGAGCTCAAGAACAGGTATGTGGAGCTGGAGAAT